TCCGCAGATATACCCATAAAATGATATACATTTATACCATGTCGTAGCATGGATTCGTTGATCAATATCATGAATCATTCATGAGATAATTGTATTTACTGCGGACACATGAAGTTATAGTAGGTACTGACAGTTTCAGAGCTATATCTATACATATGTGCATCTATATTGTTGTAAGGAATTTATAAAAATTGATCAGATTTATTTTTAGCGTATTTATCTTCTGACGTGACCGATATAATTATCTATGTATCTACACGGTGCTTACGCAATTACTAGCTAACGTTTTCTCGTAAATGGCAAGGTCGTGAAAAAAATGAAAGAGGAAAATATTTTACTGTTGCTTATAACCAACATAATAGCGTACGTAAATGTTTTTTGATAAATGAAGGTAAACTTTAATTATTTAAATCGATGTTTCTTCTTTTTACGATATTAAAATGTCTATCAAGACATATTTAACTATGTAGGATAGAATGACGTTCAAGATCATACAAGGTCAGAAACAAAAGAAATATTTTCGGTATTTAAAAATATATAGGTACATTTTTGGTGGTTTCTGCTAATGTTTGTCCGAGATATCGATGCACAGATTTCCGTTATTTTTCATTGTAAATCATTTACATCTGTAAACGGCGTATCGTAAATCTTATCTTTAATAGTGCTTCATAAAAAAAATCTGGAGGTGATAAATCGGGAGATTTTGGAGGCCATTAGCAGAAGCCACCAAAAATATAATTCGTAGATTAGAAACATACATTCTTGCACATGGAAGTCGTATTGAACATGCTATCTAGTCGTATCAATAGGAATTACGAGTAAATACAATTAAAGAATAATAATAATACAATTAAAATAATAATATGTAATATTGTGTGAGTTGAAACTAATGGTCCTACTTTTAAAAGAAATAAAAAAGGTAAAATTGTTTTGACCAAAAGTTATACTATACATAGAGCTTCTGCTGAGACTGTGGAGTATAAGTTCCAAAAAAGATTCCAAGATAAAATACACGAGTTGTATTTACTCGAGATCAAGACTCGGACTGTCTTAGTGATTTGTCGTGTAAGGAATTTGAAACCAGACTTCTATCTAAATACAGACTCCTCTTGATTATCGTCCCAAACTCAGGTCCGCGCCGGGACAATAATCTTATAGGGAGAAATGCTTCAGACTCTCGTAAATTTGTTTTGTGCCCGAAGCCTGAACCTCAACAACAAAAACGTAGAGGTAACAAAGTATGCGCTTGATAGATCCACCCCCCCCCCCTCCCCAGTGGTGGGGATAACGCCTGGACAATAATCGTGTAGAACAAGCCAGACGATAATGGAGAGGAGTCTGTAGACTCTGTTTCTTTTCGTGATGTGGTTTGTAAATAATTTGAAACTCGACTGACGATTATAGCTGGATGTAACGATACGAAAAAATGGAAACGTGGGAGACTCTCTTCTTACCTCTGGAACGGAACAAAGTTATATTAACTACAATATTTTAATATGTAGGTACATGAATTTGTAATAATAAAATTTGTATTATATCATAATCGGTTTCTAATGATATAAAACGTACAAATGAGTATTTTTCCTTGAGACAATTTTTTATTTTATTTGGGCAAAATTGTTGAGTAAATTTAAAGCACAAATTGAAACCAATATTGCTTGATAAAAAGAGTTTTAAGAACCAAATTTATAATAAAAACTACCAAAACCGTTTTATTCAATTTTTATATAACAAATTATTTCTTTACGTATGTTTGAGACTAAAAGTGTAAAATGAAGATTTGTAGAATAAAATTTCTTTTAGATCAACTTAAAATCTAAATTCTATAACTTATAATTAGAACTGACATATTATAGGGAATAATGACATTACTAAGCTATAAGTAAAACAAAACTCATTTAATATTATACATAATTCTTACATTAAATTGACTTCTTAGGAATTTTTAATATGTACGAAATCTTCCTTCCTCAAAAATTTTGTAGTATGAAACCAATTCGTTGTTTAACAAGTGTACAAAGTTATAAGTGTAAATTATTCTGATATGAGTACTAAAAATTTTAATAAACGCAATTTAAAAGTCTCGTAAAAAAGATTTATATGGTACGTAACAAATTTAATATATTCATCCTCCTCAGATATTTTATATTACGTTCTGTAAATAAGTGAAGAAGAATAGTTTTTAATTATTTAAAATTTTAAATAAATATATTGTCGTCAACGCGACATAATTTTAAACACGTGTACCATTTTTAAATTAGTTAATGTAACAATAAAAGAGGTATAGTCGGTGAACTCGGTAATGTGAGGGCGTAAATCCCAGCGTTAAGCCGCGACACCTATTAATGTCTCCGCGTTCAGGGTCGTGCGCGTCTTAGAGAAGTATGCACCCTGACTGTCAGGCTAGAAAAATCATTTGTGAATTGATATTTAAAATTTCTGCTTATAGTCTTTCATTAAAACTGTGCAGTATTAAGTGCCCATCGCCTCGTGTACGATAACAATTGTCGTACTAGTAAAAATAAACCTACAGCTGTCGAGGACTCGGACGCGTACTGTTTCCAAGTTGACATCCACGGTCCTGAAGGAAGCTCGAGCTCCTTATCTCCCCCTGATCACTGTGTCGGCAGCCGAAACATATAAACATTCACGCCTGGCGTTCTTTGCGTACCTCACAGTTCCGAGTTCACCAACTATACCATTTTAAAAGAGACTATTTTTTTCTATCTCTATACATAAATAATGTCAACTGGAAAAATTTGAATTGAAATATTTACGTACGTATAAAAAATCGAAATGTGGTAATTTACAAATTCTACTTCTGTGCCATATGATAACTTGCGTGACCTCCATAACCTTCATGGCCTTCATGACCTTCATGACCTTCATGACCCTGGTGCACATCTGGGTGATACGTTAAAAAAAATATTATGCACCAAGTACAGAAAAGTGCAACCAAAATAATAAACGTCGCAGCATTAAATTTGTCCCATCCAAATATTATTTCCGTCAAGGATTTATATTCCCTTCTGTATACACAGGGTGTGCTACGATTGAAAATTGTTTCTGTGCTTTGATTGTCTGATTTCATTTTTTCAATCTTTGTTCAATGTCAGTTTTACATGAAATACGTTGACTGATTTGTAAATTCCTTTGACACTGATGAGACACAGAGATCTAGATAACTGCACAATAAGCAGGAAACTCCGATTAGATTACGTTTACGTTCAGGTAATTAGAATATCTCCTGCAATGGCAGTAATTAAAAGATTATATTGGTTCGTCCACTTTATATTAATTTGTTAATATTAATTTGACGCTAAAACATTGTTATGTATGACAAATACAGTTGAAAATCAAGATACATAATTTAAAACTAATTTTGATTGATCCAAGTAATTGATACGAAATTCTTTACACATTTTTGAATAGCATTGGTATATAAGAAAATAAACTAAAATATGTTTCAATTAAGAAGTTAAGGATATAATTATGAATTCTCCGACTTATTTAACCTTAGAGCTATGGAAAATAGAACGTTAACATGGATCTTGAACTAATTAAAGAAGAATTTTAAACATTAATAAAATGCACATTGAAATATGAATTTCGATGCAAAGTTCAATTTATTAAAATAGGAATTTCAAAACTGAACAAACTGATGAAATAGAAGCATTAACACAAAATTTGGATTACTGGATTAAAAATAGAAAAAAAAATAATTATAAATTAAATTCAAAATTGTGAATAACACATGATAAAGGAGACAACATCATTTAAAGCATCGCTTCGTACAAACACGACAAATATTACGTGTTTGCTGTACAACGAATAATATGCACATAACACTGTCCAACAATTTTTCTCGTCCAGATCACGAATCCGTAAGCAAAATCTCTCCATCTCATCAATTTTTGAAAAACATGAGTTTATAAAAACACCTGATTTTGGGAAAAATTACGTATTACATAAAAGCTAAAAACACTAGAATGTTGCATTTGATGTTAAGAGATAAAGGAGTTTCCTGAATATAACAGTGTACATAGTTATAAAATTGGCTAATTTTTAATGGTTGTAAATTGCCATGAAAATTTCAAAAAGAGCCGATGTGCGTACTTTCTATGCACTATTTTTACACTTTTACGAAAAGTTCTTTACCTAGTATGAATTTGTTAGACAGTATCAGATTCTGTAGACATTTGTGAAGAAGAAACAAACCAGAAAAAATTTCGGAACGGTTTTTACTTTGAACAGGTTGAGAAAATATCCATCGTATTATATATTATTATAATATCGATCGAGAAATATCCCGTAGCTACGCGTAATCGACCCCGATAGTACCTTCCAATGGGCACCTTATTGCCATATGTTTAATGTTCTCTAACCAATTCGTGCTAGGTAATGAACTTTTCGTAAAAGTGTAAAAATAGTGCATAGAAAGTACGCCCATCGGATCTTTTTGAAATTTTCATGACAATTTACAATTATTATAAGTTACCCAATTTTATAAGTATGTACACTGTTATATTCAGGGAACTCGTCTATCTTTTAATATCAAATTTAATATTCTAGCGTTTGTAGATTTTATGTAATACGTAATTTTTCCTCAGATCGGGTGTTTTTACAAAAGTTCATGTTTTTCACAAACAGAGAAGATAGAGAGATTCTGCTTCTGGTTTCGTGATCTGGATGAGAAACTCTATAAAGATCTCCCAATAGATATTGTAGATCGAAAATCGTGTTGAACAGTGTAATTAATGTTAGATGTATCAATAGGTAACGTGCTATTTTCTTAATATGTTGATAGTATACAATAAATTGAAGTAACTCATAAATAAAAAGAAAGGACAATATTAAACACTGTGTAGGTGGTATGATTTCCATTGAAACGAGTAGTGAAAACACAATAATAAGTTATCTTTAATAGCGAATTCACACCTGTTCGTATGGCGCTTCGATCGAGTTTATGACATGTAAAATAGCACGATAAAATATAAGATCTAGAAGCAACAGTCCATATTGTCACCGCTGGACCGTTCCCAAGAAAATAGCCAATAGCCTATACCGGTACCGATCGCCACAGCCAAACAGAGCCACACGTTGTATGTCATAAAAATTAACATAAGGAAATATCCTATGATCAGTTGTATAATGTGAGCTATTGTTTGAATGATATGTACCTTGGAAAAGAGTAGTGCCCTGAAATACAATACACTTGAAATGTACACATGCTTTGATAAGATACGAATAATATACACTCCTGTCCATAAGTATTAGGATACCTGCTTCGTTCACAAAATATACAATGTTTTATATTAATTGTATCTTCTGTACCATATTTATTACTTCACGATATTGTTATTATGCTTTAATATTCTCTAGTTTCAATAAATTTAACTTCTTGATATTCGATAAGTGTCCCAATACTTACGGACGAATTCAATTAAGATTGTGAGAAGAATTCAATTACATTCTTGTCAGCAGTGTCAGAATTAGAGGTGGCGTGAACTGCTACTTGTGAATCACGAGTGATTCGATCACGTTCATTCCCAATCACGGTGATTTTTCACAGTGATTAGTAATTTTTCGTGATCGTTTCTGATTGGTGGAGAAACGTAACAGTTCTTTACACGCGACACATAACCTGTATATTTTATATTAACGACATCGAAACAAAAATTCTAGTTATATCGTATAAAGTGAAGGAATAATTAGAAACCGTGAAGAATAATGAATAAATTGATGCTTATACATTATAAACTACATATTACCTAGCCGTCATTCTTTTAGAATTTCTTATATTTTCTACTGATTTTTAAACACACAAATAGTAATGTAATTCATCGTAAAATCATATTGAATACGTTTTTCTGTTTAAAAATCAAGGACTTACGATCGCAGGAAGCAAATTCACTCAAGATACAAAAATCGCAATCACGGTCGTGAATGAAGTTAAATCACGACCGTGATCGTGATTTGGAAATCACTGTGATAAATCACCGTTAGTGATTTTGCACGCCATCTCTAGTCAGAATTCTAACAAACATTGAAGACACTAAAAGGTTATAAATACACATTATGAAAACTAAGTAAGTAGACATTGAAAGTAATTGATTCTCCTTTCGTGAAATGTTATGTAACAAAATATTTATAAATTATACTTATAGTACCTGTATTGTTGCCTGAAGAATAACAATGATTTAAATAAAGTAATTCACGGAAGGAAATGTAATTTAAGAAAGTAAAGGAAAGTAATTTAAGCTTTAGCATATTTTACCAAAGATAATACGTACGCTCTTGGTCTTCTTTGACTAAGTTTCGAGAAACGTGCAGTCTGTACGTAAAGGTGGTCACTGTATTGCACACAGAAAAAAAAATTGAATTATTGAAATTAATTTTTGTAATGATTATGCTTACCGATAACTTTTTATTCCTTCATATATGGTCACCAAAAGAATAATTCCAACTATTGACCATCCAAGCCCTTGCGAATCGACTACATGCCATTCGTTAAATAAAATAATTTCGTTTTCACCAAAATGAAAGGACATCTGACATAAATTTACTTTATGAAGTGATGGACATCATTGCTTTTACTGTAGTAAAAGCTAGACACTTCGATACTTACATGCATGTTGCTACGATGGGATGGAATATTGTGTACTGTCAGTGAAACGATATGCACTCTTATGAAATTGTTCAGCGTTCAGTTCGTATTCAGCTTCTTTATCGAATCACAGATACCATATCTTTCTAATCAATCGTCGACTCAGTGACAGAGAAGAATACTGACATTATTTGTTAATACAAATATGAACAATATACCTACATTTAACGAACCTACGCTGAAATGGGATAAAAATTGTTAATCTTATTTGATTATATGTCTCAAATAGAAACCGATAATCTTCCCGAGCATACTTGACAGATTATTCTCAGTCGAAGATGTCATGTACATCGTTTTATCTCAGATTGTTAAAAAATTATTATAAAAGCAAAATACTACAGACACGCTTCTTATGGTATACGATTATCTTTATTTTTCGTGTACTCTTTACTCACAAATACCGATCAATTTGTCTGTGCTACTTGGCGAATTGTTCTAACAAGTAGAAAATATTATATACACCATAGATTTGTCGCCATTAGTTGTCGACCAAAATATTAAATAGAATTGGTATCGAGTGACATAGCTTAGTTCGCCGCAAATAACTCAAACAGTATTGTATAGAGTATGTCTGAAAAATAACGCGATTGACAATATATTAATTCAAACACTGGTCAGATTGCTAAAAATCGTACATTTTATTGATCGAAAAGTTCGGGGACTTTATCTGTAAATCATTTATTAATAATTTTAACAATAACTCCATAGATTCGCGGAACCGTTACACGATCTTTAGATTTCGAAACCGAAAATAAAGCACACTTTGTTTCGTAATGACTGTATTTACAAGTTGTGTGTTTGTGTGCGTGTGTGTGTGATGTTCACCGGGTGAGTTCTGGTTTGAGTCTGATTTTCGTGTGACGTCGCTTCCTCCAAATTCGCTGAAGGCGTTACCAAAACTCGCTTCCTTATTGGTTATGTCCTGAAGGGGAAGGCAAATTTCTCGGTTTTTCCAAGTGACGTGGAGGTGGAAAACCTCTCCTTCAGGGCGAAGCGGACGTCAGTAAAATATCGCGCACGTGGTCACGGCGCGAGTTGACCGCAACGAAGTTTCAAATCTCTCAACGGTAGGGTTTATAGCTGTATTGTCTGCGAGTCAGCGCGCCCCGATAAGGCCCGGCACGGATGGGTCCCAGGTTACTGGGATGCAGACCAAATGTTCCTTTCTTTTGTCTATTACTCTCTTTGTGTCAACGAAATTGAAATTGCTTGCACGAAGGAAATAAAGTAATAAAAAATAACGGTAATGTTAGATTCTAAAGCCGTCGTTTCAGGTCTACGACGGAACACAGACTTTTGAAATATTTTTTCTAGTTTTCGAAAGCGACGTAACAAGCGGACGTCAGAATCAAGCCTAGCTCCTTCTGCGATATCTCCATTATTAATTATTAATAATTTTAAGTTAAGAAAAACATTATTTTCACAGATACTATTGTTTATTATGAAAACAATGAACTTATACAGGAATACGAAATTTGTGGTTTTAAAAAACATCTTCCAATATGAAACTCTGCTTAAACTTAGAATTAAAAGTTAAAATTATTATTTAAAATTAAAAGTCACTTATTTTTCTGCCTTTTTAGGACAGTTTGGATAGACATATAAAGCCAGCATCAGTAATTCCACAATATTCATGATCCTATCTCAATCACTTGGTGTATTGAACACACTGTTCACCAGCATGGTAAGGATCTTACATCCTTAAACGCCCCATAGAGAATACGTTTTGTCATACAACTGATCGCGCAACCTATGTAGGTCACTTCAACTGTCTGAACGATAATTGCGACGGTCGTACGACTTATAATACGACGTGGTCGTATTGTACGGCAATATCGCAAGTTAAAAATCCGTTCCAACCGTCTGTCCAACTTCCTATGCCACTTGTCGTACGACTTGCCGTACGTCACATCGTATCGTCTATGGGAGCCTTTAGAATAAACGCACACATAAAACAAACATTCTGCGTTGTTGTCCAATTCATACATAAAGACATAACAAGTAACCTAGGTTCTAAAGAAGAAGTTAAACTAATGTGAGAAAAGTTTATTAATGTTTCATTTAAACGATAATAGAATTAGTTGATAATAAGACTCGGAGCTAATGAAGAAATTGATCAGATACCTTACCTTTAATGGTATACAAAGCTTTTAGGTCAATTACTTTAGCAGGTCGCGATGAGGAGAAAGAAACTGATTGGCGTCTTACTGATACAATCGTTTTCGCGCAAACGGCAATCTTCTGCGTACAATAATGTTATTTGTTTTAATAGTTTTGAACACTGCTGCACTATTGGAGCATTTCCATGTAGAAATACTGTGGGGTCTTATATTAGGCATATGTCTCATATTTGGTACCGTTATTCCATACATATGTTAATATGAAGTTTTTTATTTATATTAGTGTGTAGATTTATCTTCTGAATTATTGACATGCATTTATGAAACACCCTATACAGGGTGTTCCAAAATAGCTTCGATTCCTTGCACTGAGGGATTCTTGGGATGATTTGCAACGACTTTTTCCTTACCAAAAATGTTATCCGAGGCTTTGTTAACGAGATATTAACGAAAAACCCCGACCAATCAGAGCGTGAGTCTGCCGGTCGAGTTCCTGCGGTAGCGTTGGCCACGCGCTGCGATTGGTAGCCAATACTATTGCGGGGACTCGACCGGCAGACTCGCGCTCTGATTGGTCGGTGTTTTTCGTTAATATCTCGTTAACAAAGCCTCGGATAACATTTTTGTTAAGGAAAAAGTTGTGTCAAATGACCCCAGGAACCGCTCATTTCCGGAAGTCCAAGCTATTTTTTGGGACACCTTGTATAGCAGATGTTCATATGAAACAACATCAGGTTCAAATTTATCGAGCAAGACGTTTGCATCAAATTATATGTCAAAAACGATATTAACCGTTTTAAAACAATTCATATGTTACAAAAAGCCTTCAGGGAGAACTGTTGATCAAACCCGCATATACTTGAATGGTACAAACTGTTTAAAGACGGCTGAGAGTCGGACAGAAGACAAACTTCGTTCGAAATTCGTTCTCCTGACTGATTTATTCGATTATAGCAGTGTGCAACATAAACAATTCCTACCGACTGGTCGAATAGTTATTGTCTCATGGAGTTTTTACCAGATTTTCGTGGTTTCGAACCACTCACGTAATATTGTTCAGGTAACCTCCAGAACACTCCGTTAACATGCGATAATTTATTATTGACGGTTATAAACTGCGTACTCCTACTCCCAGGTTATCCGAATTTCTCCACTTTATCCGTTTCTCTTACAATTAAATACACATTACAACCAAGAGCATGGGAAACAATCATACCGATTTCTAACCACGCCTATCCGTATACTTCGTCGAATATTTCAGTGAGAAAAATAAATCAATTTTGATCCAAAAATGATCAGAAAAACTTTTGATAGAAAACTTTGCCTTAAATCTATTTCTCGGACTTGTATTCCGGATTTATTTCCTGAACTCTGTATGTTACCGATTTTTCTACGGCGTGATGACACAACAGATACAAAGCTAATACCAAAGTATTACTGCAGGAACTGCTCGATCCTTCAGCCGATAAGGTCCTGACGCAATGGTGTACAGTGGTTTGAAATCACGAAGACGTGGCGAAAACTGAAAAAATTCAAATTCAAAAATGGATGTTGTTCCCTTACAGCAGATTATTATTGTTATAGTTATCAACAGCTGACGATATATCTCAACTAATTTATGCGTAATTATTTTATTTTCAACCCCTGGCCACGTATAATTTGACTTTGAATTTAGTTGTGTATTTTAAGGTAAATTTTAAAGTAATGTATTTGTGTTACATAGGGTAAATATTAAAAAAAAAATTCAATCACAAATTTAATGAATAGTTTACACTGTACTAACTGTAATAATATAAACTATATTTAACATAAAACTACAGTAAAATACAACACAATTAAATAACAATGCACGACAAAACGACTAATATACGGCAACGACAAGAAACTCGACTTTTACACAACAAACTGATCAGAAACCATATACACTCTGCCCTCTCGTAAGTGTCCACGCCTACAGCACACACCCAAACTTTGCACCGCCGCTCTCGCTTTGCGCAAGCATACCTCGAAATTCCGATCACTCGATACCTATCCTAATCAGTCACACGAAATTCTTCGTTCATTCACTCTTCGCCCTTGAAAACCTTTCTTGTGCGGCTAGAATCATTCCTACGATCGATTGCATTCCCACACATACCACAATCTCTACCACATTCGCTCACATACCACAGCATGGGCGTAGCCAGGGGGCGGGGGAGCACTTGCACCCCACCCCCCTGGACAGAAATAGTGGCTTTGGCCCCACCCTATAAGAAAAAAAATTGGATTTTGCGGCCCCCTCCTCCCTTCCCAGAGTTACAAAATTTTTGCGTAATATTTAATATTGCAATATAATTTGAAACACGACCAACGGCCTCTATTAAAAAAACGCATACATTTTAAATAATTTATGACTTTAAATACAAAATAAAGTGTGTCTGGCTAGATACAGCCTTTTTCACTGTGGCAGTCAATGTGTTCATATTTATGCCCCCCTCCCCCCTCCCTGACTGATAACCTGGCTACGCTCATGTACCACAGTTACAGTTAAGTGATGGAATTTGGAAATAATATTAACGATGGTACGTAACAAATTAGATATGTATGTTAGAAATATTTCGTATAAAACTTGACTCCGATCTCTTTCGAGGTTCTGGGGTAAGTGCCGTGTCTCTTGACACAGTCCTCTTGCCAGAGAGTCCCCCGACTCTCCCCACTCTGTGGCCAGATCCTTTATTTAAAACCTTTTATCTCACGCGCCTCGATAGCAACCGGCAACCGGCAACCGACAATCCAGCGTCGGTCCCTTTGCCGTCACGCAATACCCGGACGTCGAAGCCGCGAGGAATCAACAAAGTATCGCCACTC